TTATTATTATTATTATTATTATTATTATTATTATTATTATTATTATTATTATTATTAGTATTATTATTATAATTATGTTGGTAGATGATATTTTCTATTCTCTGCTTGTTGCCTGTTCTCTTCTATTCCTATATTATATTTCTACTACCCTGTCCTCTAATATAATGAATTAGGTAAAATAATCTTTAATTGTTTTTATTCAAGGGTAAATAATTAAACCATCCAACGATTTCAGATTTCAGAGGCATCTACGCGCCAACATCGGATTGGATTCGTTTACCAAATTTTCCTTATTACCGTCAAAGAAGACGACATAAATCTGATATTTTTTTTCGGCAGAAGTGCGATTTTTTCATTTATTAGCATTTGCAAGATTAAAGTCGATATACAATTTAAGAATAAATTTAAACTTCCGGTTTAGGCGTTATTCGGTTGTCACGGAAGCCGATTCCTTTTTGAGTAACTATGTCGGTTGTGAACATTGGCTGTTGTCATTGAGTACTTGTGGTGTACATGAGTTCTGTAGAGAGATATTTAAGTTAGTTTAGTCCTTCTCATGTCCTTCTTCAGTTCTCGTCAATATAATGTATTGCTCATTGAAATATTGTTGTTCAAATAGTTACATTCCCGGAGTTATTTTACGAGCGGGGGAAGGCAGGCGGCCATGAGCCACCACTATTTCCCCTTCCGGTATGTAACTGGAATATTTTTTTACTGTAGAGATAGTTAATTCTAAACTGTAAAGATCGCCTTCATTCTAAACCGTCCATATGGTCGTCTTCATATCCCCGGAGTTATTTTACGAGCGGGGGAAGGCAGGCGGCCATGAGCCACCACTATTTCCCCTTCCGGACCACATATTAGCTTTTTTCTCTTCCGGCAGCCATGAGCCACCACTATTTCCCCTTCCGGGCCACCACATTTGACTCTTCCGGGCAAAACTACTTTTTTAAATGGTATTTTTAGAGCCTTTAAAGTGTGATTTTTAAAAATCCAGCCGCTATCTATGTTTATTTATTTATCTATGTGTCTAATCCTCCCTGATTATTTATGACATTAGGGCATAAATAATATATTGAATTTTTGTAAATCGAAAAACATAGTTTCAATTGAATTAAAGCTTTTGAGTTTAATGTCCTTAAAATGTTCACCTTTTTTACGCTCATTTTCAGATATTTCTGAAGTGGAATGCCGCAAATAATTCCAAGTTCATAGGACTTTAATCTTTTTTTAACTATAGTTAAAACTATAAAATTTTTCCGATTGGTTCCATAGAGAAGAGGTTTGCCAAATATTTTTTTATTTTATATCGCGACATATATTTGGCTCGAACAAGAAATCTTTCTTGCTGGCCTTCCTTTCCTCGCCTTATAAAATCAAGAGTTAATCAATAAATTTTCTTTTCAGGAATTTCCATAGGTGTTTCTTTCCCCACAGCTTCAACCCTATCCCCGCAGCTCCAATCCTATCCCATCAGCTTCAACCCTATCCCAACAGCTTCAACCCTATCCCCGCAGCTTCAACTCTATCCCCGCAGCTTCAACCCTATCCCATGAGCTTCAACCCTATCCCTGCAGCTTCAACCCTATCCCTGCAGCTTCAACCCTATCCCCGCAGCTTCAACCCTATCCCCGCAGCTTCAAAGTAAATAGAATTACTGGCTTGTAGCCACACATTGAAGACAGTCACTTGATGAAGCATTAGAAAGCCAAATTGTTTTCTGGTATTTGCAAGCAACATTTTTAACACTTCTTTAAAAATTCCGTGATAAATCTAATAAACTTATAAGTTTTGTGTAGGTTGTAATTATATCCCAGTATTTGTTGTTTTTATGCAATCTAATAAAAATTATTATTCGAAAATATATTAACATTTTAAATTTGAAACTTATATGAACATTTGATTTTTAAAATTTTCAATAAATTCCAGGTTTGCATCTGGTGTGTTCGTCAGATTTTCGTTCTTCAGAACCTTATTTAGATCTGTAAATAAATATATAGAGGTATAGATATTTTATAGAGGTATCAACATTATTAATATCAGAAGTCTATGTTTGATTCAAAACATACAAACCTATGTTGCGATAAAATAAAAACTATGTACTTCTACACACACCAAAAAAAAATGACCATAAGAATGATATACATTTATTCTTTTAAATATGAAATACTTCAGTCATATATATCAGTCATTTATGAACTTGGAACAGACAATTACATATTGTAGCACTCTTTGTCAGAGAAAGAAGACGACTTTATAGAATCTTCGTCCACACTCTTTATTTACAGGACTGCCTACACAATTTCTCTCTTTAAAAAACTCTTTTACCTGAAGCATCAAACCTTCCACTAACCTTTCTTTTTTGGTTTGCCTCCTAGTCGGTGAGTTCCAATAAACATGAATTTGGTATTTGCTGCACTTTGCTTTAATAAAAAGACTTAAAGCTGTACATTTTTATGAAACGCAATTTTCTTCCATGATAATTTGAAATGAGGCTGTACATTTTTCTCATCATAAAAGTGGATTTTGTGAATTCATTCACCTTATTGTATTCCAAACTAAAACTGAAATCAAACCATAATGATTAAAATAATCTAAATTAAAATCAAATAATGGAGAGAGATAAATATATTAAAGGGACAGTAAGCGAAATATTTCAAATGACCATTCATGCAAAGATTGCAATTTCTAATTCACAACGTTACACTAAAAAGATTTGTCTGAACCAAGTATGAAATAGATATCCATTTTTTCTTGTTTTTCTTAAAACTGTTTATTTTCATTTTGCAGGATGTCTGCTAAATTTATTTGAGCTGCTGCACATCTCTTGCTTAAAAAAGCAATGAAGAAATCATTTGAATTAAACACTCTTTGAATAAAAAAACGACAATTGTTTCTAGAGTTTTGATCAGATAAAGATTTCAAGGATACCACATGTTCTAAATCGGACATTGCCATCTTTGCATAAAGGATCACTTGAAATTACGCTTACAATTTAACCTTTCCGTTAATTTAACAACATCTTGGAAATCTCAGGCTTTCTTTTCCGTTACTTAATTCACATTTGTATGGAACTTCCTTTAGGATTGTTCGCAATAAACTCTTGCAAGTTATATTTGTAATTATTGTAATCTATTCCGGTAAATTCATCATCCTTAAAAATAAAATTAATGTTAGGAATATTAAAGTATTAACAGTTTATCAAAATTAATTTATGATTTTATGCAGAGGTGGCCAAACATTAAATGAAAGATGACTTTTTTCATGAGTTTAATATTTGAAATAGTGAATTCACCAAATTACCGTCAAAGAAGNAAATTCTCTCTACAAAACTCATGTACACCACAAGTACTCAATGACATAAGAACAGCCAATGTTCACAACCGACCTAGTTAATCTATATAATAGGAATTTCTTTAAAACATCTCTGTACATTTATATCTTTCAAGATGAAAAATGTCTTATGCGCAATCTATCTTTATGTATTTAGATATCTATAAAAAGTAAGACGGATACCAATAAATAGCTGAATAGGTGAATTTGTTTCCTATGAAATTACTCAAATAAGTAAACGGTCCCTTTAAGTTAAATTTTTATTTAATTGACTGTCTGCATGGAGACCGACTGAAAACAGCTTAGACTAGTTCCGTCTCCTCGCCATAAACTATAATAAATAGTTGAAATTAAAAATATACTTTTTTGCATGTATCATTTATGACTTAATATATATAATATATAATTTGATTTGATATTATACTTATTATCTATTTCATGTAGTTCCAAACTTAAAAAAGGCAGAACAATATTGGCTTTATTATTTTTCAAACTTTGAAAACATACTAAACATGGATTTTAATTATTTTATGACTGAGATGTGAATTTAGATAATATATGTATAAACTCCTAAAATGTTGTCTAAAACTAAAACATAACGTACACTGTATACACTATATAGGATTGTGGATAGTGTAACTAAAATGTTTAAGCTGTATACAAGGGTGAATAAACGCTGCCAAAAAATGCACTTTGACTTTCTCAACACCTACACTGAAGTTTGCATCATTTCGATTTGTCTCCAAAGGGACTGAGGAAGTGGCGGTTGCAGGCGGGGGAAGGCGAACTTAATTTTGTCCCCCGCCCTTCATTAACATATCATGATCATGATTGTGGAATGTGGACCATATTTTATCAAATTATGTCCCAAAATAACAAATATTTTTCTTGGCAACTTCGCGCATCATTTCTAACAGAATTTCGTATGGGTATTTATTAAAATACTGATGACCTTAGAAACTGAAAATTAATTTGGAAGAATATCAAAAAATAATAAGGATTATACCGGACTATTAAGACTAAATGAAGATGTTAAGTACTTTCCCAAAGGCCTTTTCCCAAGTGGCAACTTCCCAAATGTGTAATTTCCCAAGCGGCAACTTCCTAAATTTACATTTTCCCAAATGACAATTTCCCAAGTGGCAACTTCCCCATGAAGGAAAGGCCCATCCTAGCCGCAGCGCTCGGCCCTCTAGCCCATCCTAGCCGCAGCGCTCGGCTCCATAACCCATCCTAGCCGCAGCGCTCGGCTCCCCCCATATTGTAGCCTGCGGCACTTCAGACTCCTAAACTAACATTAATTATTGTACTAGTATATAATCTTTAACACAATTTAGTAATGACTTTTACTCCCCAGAATCATCCTAACGCCCCCCCCCCCCCCCCCCCCCCCCTTCCTTGCGATATCAGGTTCTCTTATATTTTACCCTTTTTACTTAACCCAGTTTGTATCAAGTATGTTTTCCCAACTGCTTGGTTCACGTAACAAAACATCAAGACAACAAAAATAATGATCATCTTCATTCTGAAAAATAATATTCGTCTTCATTCTGAAAAAATAATAGTCTTCTTCATTCTGAAAAAAATTAGTCGTCTTCATTCTGAAAAAAATAATAGCCGTCTTCATTATAAAATAAAATTGTCATCTTTATTCTAAAACAAAATGGAGCGTCTTATTTTGAAATATATGTAACTGGAATATTTTTTTACTGTAGAGATAGTTAATTCTAAACTGTAAAGATCGCCTTCATTCTAAACCGTCCATATGGTCGTCTTCATATCAAAATGTTTAAGGTACTCATTTACTGAAATAAAATGGTCGTCTTCATATCAAAATGTTTAAGGTACTGTTTTACTGAAATAAAATGGTCGTCTTCATATCAAAATGTTTAAGGTACTCATTTACTGAAATAAAATGGTCGTCTTCATATCAAAATGTTTAAGGTACTGTTTTACTGAAATAAAATGATCGTCTTCATATCAAAATGTTTAAGGTACTCATTTACTGAAATAAAATGGTCGTCTCAAATCTAAAATGCTCAAGCAATTTCAAAGTCAAGACATATTACATAAATCTTTGAAATAATTGTCAAACATTTTTCTTGATCATGAGACTTAGAGAAATTTGTGAATTTATTTAAAGTAACTTTTTTAGCACTCTTCGCCGGTGTACAGTGGTAACCAGAAAAAAGTGGAATGATAATCATTGTTATTTTAATTTTGACTTTTGAAATGCTATCACTGGGGGTTCGGTTATTTGAAATTGTTAACGGATATATCTATGAAAATGTTATATTGTCTGTTTCCTAACATTCACTGTTATCTGCAACTGTAAACTTATTTCTTTCTTTGTCAAATCATTGAGCCATCAAAAGACCATATTCAAGGCAGAAGACTTAATTTAATCTTACAATTTTCCTATTATATGAGTTTCAGGTCGTCTTTACAGTTTCATCCTTTGTGGGTAACCCTGTATGTTAAACATGTTATTAGTTTATATACTAATTTATTATTGCGACACAAATCTCAAAACTCAAAAAAAGATTCTGAATTTCTCACTCCTGTGTTTAAAATAAAAAGAACTGGAGAATTTCTATGGTTTCTAGGTTGCAATGTCTTATACTAGTAATTGCAGCTTTAGATAATCAATTAAACTAATGTCTTCTTTAATTAAGACTAAAGTGTTGCAAAAATATTAAAGAACAGAATACTGTAGAGATATCAACGATAGTGTAACGTAAGGTAAAATGTACGTTTTTGTACGTTATGAAATGTTTGTATGTAACATAAACGTTAAACGCTAATGTTATTTTTCTAATATCTAGAACTTGTTTGACCATAACGTGAAAAACTGTTTTGTTACGATAGGAAGCTTGAAAGTCTAACGTTTGAAAAATTAATTGTGATTTAATTGAATTTCATAACGAAAGAATTTTTATTTCAAAGTTCAACTTATAAAAAGTGTAACGTTGTATAACTGAAAAATGCATTACTATTTATGAAAACGTTTTGAAATTGAAATTACATCTCTTGAAATTACATCCCTTTAAGGCACACTTTGAGTTGAAAGTCTAATGCTAAAAACTTAAATTCACAAACTTTAAAAATAATAATATTATAACATCTTTATACTGCATATTCTTCTACAAAATCCTAAAAAGGTTAACAATACAACAGCAACACACAGGGGGAGTAAAAATGAGATTAACAACACAATTTTTTTTAGCATGGTTCATGTTTTAGGATGAAAAATACTTAAGTAGGAATGTAATTTTTTCATGGAAAAAATCTTGTAATGCTTTCATTTAGCAACATATCTTTTTTTTTAATGAATTGTAACATAAGAAACGTTAAGCCTGAACATTTTAATACAACACAACATATAGAGCATTTTTTCAAACGAAACAAATTAACAGTTTTGATTGCCAGTTGAAAAAAAGTATAGCAAAAAAGTCTTCACAATAACATTTTGATAAATCATAACAATAGTAAAGTTGCATTTTAGTAAATTTTCTAAACGTAATTAAAAGAGTTTATATTGGAAAAGTTAAGATAAAACGTAATGTTGACAAAAAATATTCTTTGCACTGAAATGCATTGTAACATGCAGAACTATAGCCCCAAGGACGTTTTATAAAAGCAAAAGGTTTGTCACCTTTTAGTTTTCAAACCAATTGAAAGTGGAATGTAAGGTCTCCAAAAATATTTACCTTGCCTGAAAGTGGAACGTTAAAAAATTGTGGTTAAAAAGCTTTAACAGAACGTTGGAAAGTTTTTTAAAACAGGAAATGCAAAAGCATATTTGAGCTGACTTTTTTTCATTACCATTTACTAAAGCTTAACGTTGAATAAGGTATTCAAGTGCAGAAAATTTGTTACCTAACGTTACTCCATGCCATTAAATTTCATAATGTGCATCGTAACATTTCAAACGTTTATACTTTTGATGAACACAATCGTAACGAAAGCTAAAATCTAGAAAAATCAAAACGTTGACATCTCTACACGATAGTCTACGCATCTCTAGAATATAAAAATGAGAATTTCAATCCTTTTAAACAGAAAACCTTCTAATTTGAGGTTTGTTTGAATAAACAAGACGAACAAGGAGAGTGTTGATAAAAATTTTAAACAAGAAATTTAAATGTATTATAGATATAAAATTAAATCAAGAAATTTCCTGATGCTTCAAAACATAAATAATAAAATAATAATGTTGCAATTTTTTTAAACCTGAAATTAGTTGAATTTAAGTGTTTGTTAATTGCTATACTGCCATCAAGTTTAATTAACTAATTGGAAATTGGATTTCAAATTAGATCAGTAAAACAGATTTTCACAAATGTATTGTAAAGTTAAGCTGTAATGTTATCAAACAAATTAAAAGCTAAAAACATACATTAATTAACATCAAAAACCAATTCAACACAAACATGAACTAATTTATCAACAAGAAGATGACCTAAAATCCATAAAACCTAATTTTATAGTCATAGAATAATTACTTATTTAACAAGTTGAAATTTAACAAGAATAAGATCAATTCTAATGAATATACACAGCAATTATCCTTAAAATAAAATGTTGTCATTGCATTCGAATGTTTTTCGGGACTGTATATGTCCATTAATGCCCAATGGTCTGAGCTAATGAGCAGTGAGAAGTTGTTGAACTAGGCAGGGCTAGTTTAACAATTGTTCCCTTTGGCTGATGCAAGTTGATCTCAGTGGTACTGACTGCAGAATTATTATATTTATCAATATAATCAATAAAAACCCTACAAAATTAAACTCCGGTGCATTTGAAGTTAGACTTTTAGGCAACTAGAAGCAATTTGTACAATATACTTATAACTTACAGACTAAAAGTATAGAATTATGCCCTTCTGCAGGTAGATTAATTAGACAAGAGAACTTGACATTTGGGTGGATACCTGTTTGAACTACCGTCTATTGAACTATTGTTAGTTTGATCTAATTTTCGTTTGAACTAATGTTCGTTTGAACTATTGGTCGTTTAAACGATAATTTATTTAAGCTACTTATATCCTGTCAGTGGCGGATACAGCCATGGGGGGGGGGGCGGCAGGATCTTCGCACCCTCCTGAGATTTCAGAATAGAATCTCAATGGCATTTAAGGGAAAAAAACCTAGTGCAAAACAGGAAGTCAAAAAATGTTTCGCCTGTGGCATGTCTTTTGCTTCCTAAATCTTGAATTTTTGTTCCGAAATAAATTTAGCACCCCTTCACTGAAATCCTGTTTACAGTAGTTTTTAAAATTTTGGGATTTCATGAAGTTTATAGGTCAAACAATTTAAGATGTAGTTCAAACAAACAAATAAATATTTTAAATGGACATATAAAAATAGATCAAATAAACATAAAAAATAGTTCAAATGAAATAGTTAATTAAAACCTAAAACTTTCAAGATAACAAAAAAATAGTTCAAATGAACATAAAATAGTTTAAATGCAAAGTGAATAAATACTAAAGTGGAATAGACTAAGGCAACGACGACAGGTTGAGCCATAAGGTTTTATTTGGTTTGGAAATAATTGCATGAAAAGATTTCTTTTGGGAAGTAAAGATTACTATACTATACAGTCACTTAATCAATACATTGATTTTGCCTGGCACTTCTAATTTTACCCCCTCCCCCTATATGTTTACAATTAAGTTTAAGAACAATAAAAACAAACACTCAACAAAATATAGTTTTTTTTTCAATACTGCTAGAAGGTTCTTTTGATAAGTTGGTAAAATTTAGTCTAAATGTGTCTGCTAATTTTGAACCATATAAATATCTGAATGTGACATGAGTAACAACAGATAATGCCATGGAAAACTCAAAAATATCTAGATTTTGGTCCAAAGATAAAAAATATACTTTGACCATTTGAACAATTCTGATCTAAGAATATTCAAAGATTCTAGTGTTTCCGGTTTTAGATCCAAATTTTCTTGCTTTCTGAACATGGAATAATTTTCCCCCTGGTCCTGCCTGAGGATTCCGAGGTGGCTCGGACAAGAAAAAGAGGAGAATGTGGCTCGCACAAAAAAACGTTGTGGCTGGCCTTCCTCTCCTCGTCTGATAAAATCAAGAGCAAATCAATAAATTTTCTTTCCAGGAATTTCCATTGTTGTGTCTTCAACCCTATCCCATCAGCTTCAATCCTATCCCCGCAGCTTCAACCCTATCCCCGCAGCTTCATCCTATCCCTGCAGCTTCAACCCTATCCCCACAGCTTCAACCCTATCTGCACAGCTTCAATCCTATCCCCCCACCTTCAACCCTATCCCCACAGCTTCAATCCTATCCCCGCAGCTTCAACCATATCCCTGCAGCTTCAACCCTATCCCCACAGCTTCAACCCTATCCCCGGAGCTTCAACCCTATCCCTACAGCTTCAACCCTATCCCTGCAGCTTCAACCCTATCCCCGCAGCTTCAACCCTGTCCCCGCAGCTTCAAAGTGAATTGAATTACTGGCTTGTAGCCACACATTGAAGACAGTCACTTGATGAAGCATTGGAAAGCCAAATTGTTTTCTGGTATTTGCAAGGAACATTTTTAACACTTTTTTGAAAATTCTGCAATGAATCTAATAAACTTATAAGTTTTGTGTAGGTTGTAATTATATCCCAGTATTTGTTGTTTTTATGCAATCTAATAAAAATTATTATTCTAAATTATATTAGCATTTATAGTTATATGAACATTTGATTTTTAAAATTTTCAATAAATTCCAGGTTTGCATCTGGTGTGTTGGTCAGATTTTGTTCCAAGGTTTAATTCTTCAGAACCTTATTTAGATCTGTAAATAAACATATAGAGGTATAGATATTTTATAGAGGTATCAACATTATTAATATCAGAAGTCTTTGTTTGATTCAAAACATACAAACCTATGTTGCGATAAAATAAAAACTATGTACTTCTACACACACAAAAAATAAAACAGGATTGCCTACAAAATTTCTCTATTTTGAAAATTCTTTTACCTGAAGCATTAAATCTTCCGCTAACCTTTCTTTTTTGGCTTGGCTGCTAGTCGGTGAGTTCCAATAAACATATGAATTTGGTATTTGCCTCACTTTGCTTTAATAAAAAGACTTAAAGCTGTACATTTTCATAGAAGCACAATTTTCTTCCATGATAATTCGAAATGAGGCTGTACATTTTTTCATCATAAAAGTGGATTTTGTGAATTTATTCCCCTTATTGTATTCCAAACTAAAACCGAAATCAAACCAGAATGATTAGAATAATCTAAATTATAATCAAATAATGGAGAGAGATAAATATATTAAAGGGACAGTAAGCGAAATATTTCAAGTGACCATTCATGCAAAGATTGCAATTTCCGATTCACAACGTTACACTGAAAAGATATGTCTGAACCAAGTATGAATTAGATATCCATGTTTTTTGGTTTTTCTTAAAACTCTTTATTTTCATTTTACAGGTTGTCTGCTAAATTTATTTGAGCTGCTGCACATCTCTTGCTAAAAAAACAATGAAGAAATCATCAGAATTAAACACTCATTGAATCAGAAAATCGACGATATTTTCTAGATTTTTAATCAGATGAAGGTTTCAAGGATACAATACGTTTTAAAATGGGCATTGCCATCTTTGCATGAAGGATCACTTGAAATTACGCTTACAATTCTAACCTTTCTGTTAATTTAACAATATCTTGGAAATCTCAGAATTTCTTTTCGGTTACTTAATTCACATTTGTATGGAACTTCCTTTAGGTTGGCTAGCCAAGTATTCTTTCCATTCTTTCCATTCGTAATCAATTCCGGTAATTTCATCATTCAGAAAAATAAAATTAATTGTTAGAATATTAAAGTATAAACAGTTTATCAATAATAATTAATGATTTTATGCAGAGATGGCCAAACATTAAATGAAAGACGACTTTTCCATGAGTTTAAAATTTGAAATAGTGAATTCACCAAGTCTTGGAGAATTGTTTTTCAATATTTTCAAGTTTTATTCCCTTCTCCCCTGGCCCCCTTTTCTTGCAATATCAGGTTTTCTTGTATTTTACCCTTTTTACTTACCACAGTTTGTATTAAGTATGTTTTCCCAACTGCTTGGTTCACGTAACAAAACATCAAGACGACAAAAATAATGATCATCTTCATTCTGAAAAAATAATAGTCGTCATCATTCTGAAAAAATAATAGTCGTCTTCATTCTGAAAAAAAATAGTCATCTTTATTTTAAAACAAAACGGAGTGTCTTATTTTGAAATATATGTAACTGGAATATTTTTTACTGTAGAGATAGTTAATTCTAAACTGTAAAGATCGCCTTCATTCTAAACCGTCCATATGGTCGTCTTCATATCAAAATGTTTAAGGTACTCATTTACTGAAATAAAATGGTGGTCTTCATATCAAAATGTTTAAGGTACTCATTTACTTAAATAAGATGGTCGTCTTCATATCAAAATGTTTAAGGTACTCATTTACTGAAATAAAATGGTCGTCTTCATATCAAAATGTTTAAGGTACTCATTTACTGAAATAAAATGGTCGTCTTCATATCAAAATGTTTAAGGTACTGTTTTACTGAAATAAAATGGGCGTCTCTCATCTAAAATGCTCAAGAAATTTCAAAGTCAAGACATATTACATAAATCTTTGAAAAAATTACCAAACAATTTAGCCCTCTTCACCGGTGTACAGTGGTAACCAGAAAACAGTGGAATAATAATCATCTTTATTTTAATTTTGACTTTTGAAATGCTATCACTGGGGGTTTGGTTATTTGAAATTGTTAACTGATATATCTATGAAAATGTTATATTGTCTGTTTCCTAACATTCACGGTTTTCTGCAACTGTAAACTTATTTCTTTCTTTGTCAAATCATTAAGCCATCACAAGACTATATTCAAGGCAGAAGACTTAATTTAATCTTACAATTTTCCTATTATATGAGTTTCAGGTCGTCTTTACAGTTTCATCCTTTGTGGGTAACCCTGAATGTTAAACATTTTATTAGTTTATATACTAATTTATTATTGATACAAAACTTAACCTGAAAAAAGATTCTGAATTTCTCACTCCTGTGTTTAAAATAAAAAGAACTGGAGAATTTCTAAGGTTTCTTGGTTGCAATGTCTTATACTAGTAATTGCAGCTTTAGATAATCAATTAAACTAATGTCTTCTTTAATTAAGACTAAAGTGTTGCAAAAATATTAAAGAACAGAATACTGTAGAGATATCAACGATAGTGTAATGTAACGTAAAATGTACGTTTTTGTACGTTATGAAACGTTTGTATGTAACATTAACGTTAAATGTTAATGTTATTTTTCTAATATCTACAACTTGTTTGACCATAATGTGAAAAACTGTTTTGCTTTGATGGGAAGCTTGAAAGTCTAACGTTGAAAAATTAATTGTGATTTAATTGAATTTCATAACGAAAGAATTTTTATTTCAAAGTTCAACTTATAAAAAGTGTAACGTTGTATAACTGGAAAATGCATTACTATTTATGAAAACGTTTTGAAATTGAAATTACATCTCTAGTCCCTTTAAGACACGCTTTGAGTTTAAAGTCTAATACTAAAAACTTGAATTCACAAACTTTAAAAATAATAATATTATAACATCTTTATATTGCATATTTTTCTACAAAATCTTTAAAAAGGTTAACAATACAACAGCAACACACAGGGGGAGTAAAAATGAGATTAACAACACAATTTTTTTTGCATGGTTCATGTTTTAGGATGAAAAGTACTAAAGTAGGAATGTAATTTTTTCATGGAAAAAATCTTGTAATGCTTTCATTTAGCAACATATCTTTTTTTTTAATGAATTGTAACATAAGAAACGTTAAGGCCTGAACATTTTAATACAACACAACATATAGAGCATTTTTTCAAACGAAACAAATTAACAGTTTTGATTGCCAGTTGAAAAAAAGTATAGCAAAAAAGTTTTCATAATAACGTTTTGATAAATCATAACAATAGTAAAGTTGCATTTTAGTAAATTTTCTAAACGTAATTAAAAGAGTTTATATTGGAAAAGTTAAGATAAAACGTAATGTTGACAAAAAATATTCTTTGCACTGAAATGCATTGTAACATGCAGAACTATAGCCCCAAGGACGTTTTATAAAAGCAAAAGGTTTGTCACCTTTTAGTTTTCAAACCAATTGAAAGTGGAATGTAAGGTCTCCAAAAATATTTACCTTGCCTGAAAGTGGAACGTTAAAAAATTGTGGTTAAAAAGCTTTAACAGAACGTTGGAAAGTTTTTTAAAACAGGAAATGCAAAAGCATATTTGAGCTGACTTTTTTTCATTACCATTTACTAAAGCTTAACGTTGAATAAGGTATTCAAGTGCAGAAAATTTGTTACCTAACGTTACTCCATGCCATTAAATTTCATAATGTGCATCGTAACATTTCAAACGTTTATACTTTTGATGAACACAATCGTAACGAAAGCTAAAATCTAGAAAAATCAAAACGTTGACATCTCTACACGATAGTCTACGCATCTCTAGAATATAAAAATGAGAATTTCAATCCTTTTAAACAGAAAACCTTCTAATTTGAGGTTTGTTTGAATAAACAAGACGAACAAGGAGAGTGTTGATAAAAATTTTAAACAAGAAATTTAAATGTATTATAGATATAAAATTAAATCAAGAAATTTCCTGATGCTTCAAAACATAAATAATAAAATAATAATGTTGCAATTTTTTTAAACCTGAAATTAGTTGAATTTAAGTGTTTGTTAATTGCTATACTGCCATCAAGTTTAATTAACTAATTGGAAATTGGATTTCAAATTAGATCAGTAAAACAGATTTTCACAAATGTATTGTAAAGTTAAGCTGTAATGTTATCAAACAAATTAAAAGCTAAAAACATACATTAATTAACATCAAAAACCAATTCAACACAAACATGAACTAATTTATCAACAAGAAGATGACCTAAAATCCATAAAACCTAATTTTATAGTCATAGAATAATTACTTATTTAACAAGTTGAAATTTAACAAGAATAAGATCAATTCTAATGAATATACACAGCAATTATCCTTAAAATAAAATGTTGTCATTGCATTCGAATGTTTTTCGGGACTGTATATGTCCATTAATGCCCAATGGTCTGAGCTAATGAGCAGTGAGAAGTTGTTGAACTAGGCAGGGCTAGTTTAACAATTGTTCCCTTTGGCTGATGCAAGTTGATCTCAGTGGTACTGACTGCAGAATTATTATATTTATCAATATAATCAATAAAAACCCTACAAAATTAAACTCCGGTGCATTTGAAGTTAGACTTTTAGGCAACTAGAAGCAATTTGTACAATATACTTATAACTTACAGACTAAAAGTATAGAATTATGCCCTTCTGCAGGTAGATTAATTAGACAAGAGAACTTGACATTTGGGTGGATACCTGTTTGAACTACCGTCTATTGAACTATTGTTAGTTTGATCTAATTTTCGTTTGAACTAATGTTCGTTTGAACTATTGGTCGTTTAAACGATAATTTATTTAAGCTACTTATATCCTGTCAGTGGCGGATACAGCCATGGGGGGGGGGGCGGCAGGATCTTCGCACCCTCCTGAGATTTCAGAATAGAATCTCAATGGCATTTAAGGGAAAAAAACCTAGTGCAAAACAGGAAGTCAAAAAATGTTTCGCCTGTGGCATGTCTTTTGCTTCCTAAATCTTGAATTTTTGTTCCGAAATAAATTTAGCACCCCTTCACTGAAATCCTGTTTACAGTAGTTTTTAAAATTTTGGGATTTCATGAAGTTTATAGGTCAAACAATTTAAGATGTAGTTCAAACAAACAAATAAATATTTTAAATGGACATATAAAAATAGATCAAATAAACATAAAAAATAGTTCAAATGAAATAGTTAATTAAAACCTAAAACTTTCAAGATAACAAAAAAATAGTTCAAATGAACATAAAATAGTTTAAATGCAAAGTGAATAAATACTAAAGTGGAATAGACTAAGGCAGCGACGACAGGTTGGGCCATAAGGTTTTATTTGGTTTGGAAATAATTGCATGAAAAGATTTCTTTTGGGAAGTAAAGATTAGAAAAAATAGAGTAAAGACCAAAGTAAATGTCGTCTACAGTAAGAACTTTGAAATTTTCATAATTAAAAATCTAAACATTTTGTATGTTTGTATGTAGTTTCTATGCAAATACTATACAGTCACTTAATCAATACATTGATTTTGCCTGGCACTTCCAATTTTACCCCCTCCCCCTATAAAGCAAAAGAAATGTAAGCCCTTCCAGGGAAAAAACCTGAATACGCCTCTCTTAATATCTTTTCCTACAGGGTGTCCCACGAAACATGACAGTTGGTGAATAGTTTAGAAAATTTAGATTGAATAAAATATAAGTTTACGATTAAGTTTAAGAACAATAAAAACAAACACTCAACAAAATATAGTTTTTTTTTCAATACTGCTAGAAGGTTCTTTTGATAAGGTGGTAGCCTAAATCTGTCTGCTAAATTTGAACTATATAAATATCTGAATGTGACATGAGTAACAACAGATA